ATCTTGACGACGCATCCGACATGTCCCCCGGAACCCCTTCAAGCAACCATTTTGGGAGTGCTAGGACTCCTGCCATGCCTGCGATTCCCGGGTCACTTGCAATGTCCCTACGCGAGCAAATGGACTTGGTTTCTCCAGGGAGCCTATATCTCTTTGAGGACAACATTCACTTGCCGGCTACCCCTGGTTCGCCTAACCCGATGGTTCTGGATCCTCCCGTGGCCCTTGAACCCTGTCCAAATGATGTGATGCTGCGGCCGTTTTGGCTCATGCGGTGCCTTTATCAGACATTGGCGCACCCACGAGGAGGCTACCTGAGCACGAAGCTGTTTGTTCCCCGGGACGTTTGGAAAGTGAAGGGCGCCAAGCTTAAGAATGTGGAGGACAAGATTTCAAATTGTGACTACCTCACGGCGGCCCTCCTGAAACTTGCAAAGGTAGACACATGCGATGCGGATGCCGTACTAGATGAAATGCAGTCGCTGGAAGGCGTCTTGGAACAGGTGCAAACCGCACTTAACCGCAAACTCGGAAATGATGTAGGCGTGCAGGGCTCAGGGGGGTTGTTCAAAGAAGCGTCGAATGTTGTCGAAGGGGATGGAGCACCACCTGTGCCACGGACTGCAAGCGTGTCCGGCAAGTCATCGTCCTTCTCTTGGAGACGACTTCGACCCAAGAACTCCAACATGGGACTGAGTGGAGCTTACAACAGCCGGATGAGCGGAGGAGAAGGCCATAAGGAATCGGCAACGATGCCAACACTGCCCATGACACCGCAGCCTACAAGCCGGCCTCCGAAGCGTGACCTCAGCCAGGCCCAATTCGTCGGTCCCAACGCGCACTACATGAGCTCGCTTGCTCGTTTGTTTGATGCAGCGCAAGCCATTGGTAAGGAAATTTTGCCATGGACCTTTTGATGAGGCCCCAAACTAGTTGAAGACTGACACGTTTCGGCAGATCAAATCGCGCGGCAGGTTGACGACCCAGGACTGCGGCATGCGGACAAGACGCAGGTGGGGCTTGAACTTTGCACCCGACATGCTGCGGAGTTTTTCGGCTTTTACATTTGCAGGTTTGTCTTGACAGACCTCGGTATGTTGCTGGATAAGTTTATCAAGAGAGGGAGCGAATGGGTATTGGCATGAGATGCATGTTTTGTTCACGTAGTGGCGGGTGTTTTGGGTTTTGAGATGTTGTGCACATTTTGCAAGCAATGGAACAACTACAGGCGACTTATCGGGCATGACGACTAGAGCATTACCGTTATTATTTTCTCCATCATTATCACCAAATACCAATTACGGCATACACGGGTGGCGGCTTGACTACTTTTGATTTAATTACACTAATGCATTGGCATTGAGAGCGTTGGCGAGGAAGCCTTGCTTGGGCTTTGTATGATGATGGATGTATTTTGGGGAAATATAAGAGATTCTGCCTAGTCGTGCGGGTGCGTCAAGTTGGTGAGAGCGCAACCAAATTTGTAGTATGCCTGGGCCTTGCCGCCTTTATCACGTCCCCCTTTGCCGCCACGGCCGCCCTGCCCAGCTTGTGCTCCGAGGCTGCGGTATAATTTACGTGGTAAACTCGTGTACGCTCTCAGCTGTATATGTTGAGCGAGCGAATCTAGGATAAGTAGGCCGAGGAAAGGACACGAAAAGAGATACAGATGCACATGGCCCAAATCAGGGGACCAGACGCAGAAAATACGATACGGGACGACTACTGGAACGACTGCCAAAATTAAGACGACAAGCTCTTTGGAAATACAAGTCATTGTTCCCCACACACAAAAAAAGGAATGTTTTGCATTTCAAACTTGGGAGGAACTGGGATTTCTGTGCGTCGTATAATGTTTGATGCAAACACAAACGCTCAAATGAGCAACACTAACCACAGCTATTCACACGGCAGCCGCCGCTCTGAATGCAGCCGAGTCACCACGTGTACACATACTGGGTACTTTTTAAAGCATTCATGAGGATTTGCAAAAGGATCTAATCATTACCAACCGGCCATGTTGCTTGTTAGCGCGGGCATTTTTGTTGTATTGCGTAGTAGCCATTATCAAGGTCGCAGATGGGTAAAGGAGAATAATAGCCAGAGTTTGAGGTGAATAAATGAGTGGAGTTTTTATTCATTGTATTCTATTAAACGCCCAACGGCTTTGTTGTGGCTTATCCGTGTCGCAGGCGGGTAAAACTGGTCCTATATGCTTGCATCGGACGCTTCGTAGTTGTTAGCTTAATATAGTGAGTATATGCATAACCAAGTAAATACAAGCTCATCTTCTCAAGAACCTACTGGATTACCATGCCGAGCCTCTGCATTTGTATTGTGGCTTAGTGAGAAACCCTTCATAGCAGGGTCAAAACCTATGCCAAGGCTGGATAATCTCGCCCACAAACATGTATTGTGAAATGTTGCATGCCTCACCTCTGCCGTGATTAACCAATGTTGAATGCTGAGGGACTCGATTGTTGTTGAAAGTCCGGTGTAAGTTGTCAGGGTGCCTGTGCACAGTGTGCAGTGTGCAGTGCGGTCTGGTGCGTATTGACCTTTTATTGGCCCTGTTAGGTAATCAGGCTTCAATACCCTGACCCGGTTTCTCCATGTAGTATCATTTCCATCCTTTTTTTTGGCATTCATCAACAGCCAATTCACCGCCCATGCGTTCACGTTTCCAATTCCCTAGATGACCTGGGCGTGGAGAGCTGGAAGAGCCTGGGCGCGACAATGCTTACAGCCAGCAAGGTCCGCCCTCTTCGAGCAACAACCCATACTCCGCCGCGCATTCGCTTCGACGGCAAAACCAACGCCAGCCGAGCTTGAAGCACGAATTGCGGCCATTCCCATTGAGCGCTATCGAAATTTCTGCATCGTGGCACATATTGACCATGGCAAGAGCACGCTGAGTGATCGATTGTTGGAACATACGGGCACAATCTCGCCGAGTGATGCAAATAAGCAAATTTTGGTTTGTTGAGACGGGACCTGATGCACTGGCATTCGGCAGAGGTAGTTGCTAATGGAGGCCAAAACCAGGACAAACTGGACGTCGAGCGCGAACGCGGAATTACAGTCAAGGCGCAAACATGCACAATGCTGTACAAATATCGCGGAGAGGACTATTTGCTTCATTTGGTTGATACGCCTGGCCACGTCGATTTCCGCGCCGAAGTGACTCGATCATATGCTAGTTGTGGCGGAGCCCTGCTTCTTATTGATGCAAGTCAGGGCATTCAAGCGCAGACCGTGTCGAATTTTCATCTTGCCTTCGCGCAGGACCTGGCTCTTGTTCCCGTCATTAATAAGATCGACATGCCTTCGGCAGACGTTCCCCGAGTCTTGGAACAGATGGAAACTACCTTTGAATTGGATCCCAAGGATGCTGTGCTAGTAAGCGCCAAGACAGGCAAAGGAGTCCCAGAGATTTTACCGGCCGTGATTGAAAAAATACCCCATCCTATTGGCGACGAAAACTTGCCGCTCAAGTTCCTGCTTGTGGATTCGTGGTATGACAATTTCCGGGGCGTGGTCCTACTCGTACGAGTATTCGATGGCACGATCCAGGCTGGGGATAATGTGGTTTCTATGGGCACGGGCATGAAGTACACAGTCGGACAGGTCGGCATACAGTACCCCGATGGAACGCCACAAAAAGTCCTTCGAGCCGGTCAAGTTGGCTACGTGTATTTTAACCCCGGCATGAAGAGAATCCAGGATGCCAAGCTCGGCGATACCTTTACGACGGTTGGCTGCGAAAATGCGGTTGAACCTTGTCCGGGCTTTGAAGAACCCAAGCCCATGGTTTTTGTGGCCGCATTCCCTACCGACCAAAGTGACTATACTCGTCTGGCGGACAGCATCAATCAGCTTGTGCTGAATGACCGAAGTGTCACATTACAAAAGGACTTCTCAGAGGCTCTGGGGTCGGGTTGGCGGTTAGGATTTCTCGGCAGTTTACATTGTTCAGTATTTCAGGATCGCCTGAAGCAAGAGCATGGCCGGAGCATCATCATTACTGAGCCTACTGTCCCAACAAAAGTCATTTGGCCGGATGGATCAGAAGAGATCATTCAGAACCCGGCCTTGTTTCCAGACGCAACCGACCACCGCATTCGAATGTCCCAAACACTTGAACCGTACGTATGAGTCACTTTCACAGCGGTACAGGAAAGCTCACCGCATCACAGATACGTCAAGGCAACCATGACGCTCCCGCACGAATATCTCGGACGGGTAATTGAACTTTGTGAAGCAAACCGCGGCGAACAGCAGAGTCTAGAGTTCTTTCACACAACGCAGGTTATCTTGGTGTACAACATACCATCCGCGCAGCTGGTGGAAGACTTTTTTGGCAAGCTGAAGGGCGCTACGTACGTGTTGTTGTACCTTGATCACAGGTCACAGATGACATGCTAACTGGTGGTAGCAAGGGATATGCCACGCTGGACTATGAAGACGCCGGCTGGCGGGAGAGCAAACTCGCCAAGATCCAACTCCTCGTCAACAAGCAGCCCGTCGACGCAATCTGCCGTGTTGTACACGGCTCGCAGGCCGACCGTATTGGCAGACAATGGGTCACCAAGTTCAAGCAGCATGTCGACAGGCAAATGTTTGGTACGCTCCTAAACCGACTCGCCCGCCCGAGTCTGCCGAGGCTAACCACAAACAGAGGTCGTTATCCAAGCAGCAGTCGGCAACAAGATTATAGCCCGCGAAACAATCAAGCCCTTCCGCAAGGACGTCCTCGCCAAACTGCACGCCAGCGACATCACGCGGCGGAGGAAGCTGCTCGAGAAGCAAAAGGAAGGTCGAAAGAGGCTACGAGCCGTCGGCAATGTCGTTATCGACCAGGAGGCATTTCAGAGCTTCCTGTCAAAGTAATGCACTTGTATAGTAGTAATATGCTAGACCACGATATATACCCCTGTACAATACAAGATCCAATGCCCGTCCGAGGCCATGCTTCCCCAAGGAGCACGTCTCCCGCAGACTCAGTTGCGCAGATCCGGCAGCCCGTCTCCGAGGGGAACCCTCTCCGCCCAGGAAAGCCCCAGCCCGCCCTCCAGCGTGCTCTCGTCCTGCCGCACGACGCGCCGCCCGTCCTCGCCGAGCCGGTCCTCAAACTCAAAGATCCTATAGTCGCTGTTGAAGAACCACCAGCCCACGCAGCCCGCCCGCAGGAAACCAGAGTGCGACACGACAAAGACCACCTTCTCCGGCCGCCGGTACAGGTCCTCGAGGCACAGGCGGCCGCGCTCCACCACGGCCGACCGCGCGTGCGCGTACCGCGTCGCCGCCGCCGACGTCTTGTCCGGCCACACGGGGTCCAGGCGCGCAAACGAAATCTGCGGCCAGGCCGGCTGCAGCCGGGCGAGCGGCGGGCCCACGTGGGTCCGAGGAGTTTTCTGCAACTTTTGCATTAGGGGGGGCATTGTTTTGGCTCCATGTCGGCCCTTGTTTTGAGGGGAGGGGGGAGCAACTCACCCTGCCAGTCGGCGCTGGCTTCAAACACGACCCCCTTTGCGGCGAGCCAGTCGAGCGCCAGGACGGCGGTCTGCATCGTGCGGACCATGGGGCTGACGACCACGGCGGTGTCCTGGGCGGGGGGGGCGTCGAACCGCCGCCGGAGGGAGTCGCGCAGCGCGAGGCATTGCGACTCGCCTAGCGGGGTGAGTTGGGGGTCGGGCAGGCTGTAGTCTTGTGGGAGGCGTTAGTGGTCTCTTTGGGGGCGGGTGGGAAGGCGGGGGAGACTTATTGTCTACGTTGTGGTAGCCTTGGGCGTGGCGGATGAGGACGATTTTGGGAGGCATTTTTGTGGTGTGGTGATGGGCTTGACGAGTTTTGATGGTGTTGGGGCGGTTGGGCTGGCGTCAAAGTGGTTGACTGGCTGTGGGGGTGGAGCTGTTGGCCGTGCACACTTATGGGACGGGGGTTCATGTTGGCGGTTGGTAATTTTTTTTATTCTATCAATGATATATTCGTGTGGGATACAGGGTCTGATACCATTATGCTTTGCTATGTGAGTCCTGTTTCGGCGAGGTAGTGCGAATGCTGGTCGGAAACAGCAATATCCTTGGTCGTCTACGGCGGTTAGTAACTTATTTGGGGTCGCGTTTGGGGACAAGACGACTTACATCGGCAACGACAACGAGCGAACCCTGCGCAAAGCCGGTGGGCCACTCTGAGCTCGTGGGCTTGAGGGCCATCTCGGGCGAGAGTTGTATTGAGGGGTCTTGCTGCCAGATGCCCAGCCAGTTTGGGCCGTCCTTTGCGTGGACTGCCAGCACGCCAATCTTGTCTCTGATGAGCCTCACGCCGCAGAGGGCGTGTATCGTGGGCACCAGGTCTGTGGCGGCGCCGCGGGTGTCGTCGAACTCAATGGTGCGCAGGTATTTCATGCCGAGGGTGTACCCGCGGTCGTTGTCGATGTCGTTGTCGACGACGTACTTCCTGCGTATGGTGTAGAAGTTGAGCCGGAAGGGCACCCGGGGCTTGATGTCGGCCAGCGGTATGGAGCGCGGCCGCTCTAGCCGGGCCCGTTTGCCGTCCTTGGCGCCTGCGGTGGCCACGTCTTCCACGGGGATGGGTATCAGGGTGACGAGGATGGTGAGGGCGTTGGCGCGGACCGTGTCGAAGTTGGCCGTGTGCGGGAAGCGGTTGGGCCCCCCGAGGCGCAGGTTCCTGACGGCCTGGGCGATGCGTGATGCGCGATTCGGCTCGTCGATGGAGAACTGAGCCGCCGGCGAGTTTGCGAGCATGCCAATGACCTCGGCCCAGAAGCGGGTGTTTGCATCAGGGCTTTTGCGGACCTGGGTTGCGTGGTAGAGAGCGTGGGCGACGAAGCTTTCCAGTTGGGGAGGCAGATCGTGGCTGCTGACGGAGAGGAGGGAAGGGGGGATTATGCCCTCGTCTGCGACGCCAGTTTGAAGAGCCTCCCAGTACCGCAGGGTGTCGTTTGGCGGGTTGCCAGGCTCGTAGTCCAGGTCACTGGCGTCGAGACGGTGGTCGATGGTGATGTCGAGCTGCTCGGGGGTTTCCTTGAAGGGAATTTCCGGCAGGAAGGGCGACACGTTTCGGGCGCAGTCCAGGAAGCCGTCGAGTTCGGCCATGGTGAAGACCGTCTTGCCCCATAGCTTGACGACGACGCCCCAGCATGCGGCGTGGACAACTCTGGCTTCTTGGTCGGCCTCGAAGGCGTGCGAGCAGAATCCCGGCTGGACGAGCGGCTGCGGCACGTGGGCCTGAGATGGCGATGGATGCTTGAGTTCCTGGGCAACGGCCTTCCAGCCCTCCCCGCGGAGGTTGATGGCGGCGAGGGCTATTTTGGAGCCACAGAGGTAGCAGTTGTAGAAGGTGGCGAAGCTGTGAGTGAGGTCGTATGGGTTGACGTTCATGGCGGATGATGTTGGAGGGTCGAGGCGTGAGACGGCCTCATGGGCGGCTTGATGGAGTTGTGGAGGATGCAATTGGGTGGGTGCTCAATGGCGTCGATAGGATGATGGAATATGAGATTGCTGGGGTTGTGTTTGTTCATCAATATACATATCTTCCAGGCCGGCTTGAATCGGTGTAACAGCAGTCGACTACTCGAGGGTCGTGTATGTAAAAGCATGGATAAAAGTCTCAAGCTGGCATTGACCAGGCGTGATGCTTACAGACGGCCGTGGCGGCGGCGCTGAGAGACATGAGTGGCTGCCGCGGTTGTTTCAGGGCCTGTACGTCTGGTGCCATGCATGGTCTGCCAGGGTCGACACATGTCTGGTGCAGCTTGCATGCGGTCCGGGTCTGGTGTTTTCAATGTTGTGCAGGTCAAATATTATTGGCGTGCAGTTAGAGAGTCGTCAAGTTGCTGTATCACGAATACTGTGCAAGCTTGGGTGCGTTTCCGAGCAATCCATTCACAAAGCCCCGCACGTGACAGCGCCATCGTCATGATGAACTTGGCTCAGCTGGACTCGACAATCCCATCCTCCCTACGCAATCACTGTTTCATTACTCATTGAGCCGAAAGGCAACTACCACGCACAATGTGTGGTCGATACGCATTGGCGCTCGTAAGTCGCCGTTGACTCACAGGTCGCTCAGACAGCCCAACTGACGGAACTAGCGCGCCTCTCAAATACGCCAAATGCTACAGGACGACGACATGCCCGTAGACTATTCGGTAGATGACGAGGACGGCCCCGGCGCCCCCCGGCAATCATACAACTTTGCTCCCGGATACCACGGCGTCGTCTACAGAGCCGATACCCCGGACTGGGGGGCGGGCCCCCGGTCCCGATCTCACCAGGCCAAGGGCAACGACGGCGACGAGGCCGCGCCAACCGAAGAGGATGCTGCCGCTGCCGCTGCCACCGCGGGCCAGGTCAAGTACAAGCTGCAATCCATGAAATGGGGTCTTGTTCCGTTCTGGACCAAGCGAAACCCCGACTACCAGACCCTCATGAGGACCATCAACTGCCGCGAGGATTCCCTCAGCACCCCCGGCGGCATGTGGGCGTCCATGAAGAACAAGAAGCGCTGCATAGTCATTGCCCAAGGATTCTTCGAGTGGCTCAAGGCCGGGCCCAGGGACAAGCTGCCCCATTTCGTCAGGCGAAAAGACGGCCGCCTCATGTGCTTTGCCGGACTGTGGGATTGCGTCCAATACGAAGGTGCATACGCCCGCTCGCCCGCTCACTGACTGACCCATGAAAGCCCGTCCCGCCTAACAAAAGCAACAGGCTCCGACGAGAAGCTGTACACCTACACCATCATCACCACCGACTCCAACAAGCAGCTCAAGTTCCTGCATGATCGGATGCCCGTCATTTTCGACCCGGGCTCCGACCAGATCACGCAGTGGCTCGACCCGGCCCGGCACGAATGGTCCCGCGAGCTGCAGTCCCTGCTGAAGCCCTTTGGCGGCGAGCTGGACGTGTACCCCGTCACAAAGGACGTGGGCAAGGTCGGCAACAACTCGCCGTCGTTTATCGTCCCGCTCGACAGCAAGCAGAACAAGTCCAACATTGCGAATTTCTTCTCGAGCGCGCAGAAGAAGGGGCCCAAAGATGCCGAATCGGCCGCCGTCAAGACAGAAGACTCCAGCGTCGAGCGTAAGCCTGTGGAGGCGGATGAGCGAGAGAAGCGCAAGGAGCCGCCGACGAGTCCGGATCGCCCGGTGAAGAAGACGGCTTCGGAGAAGGCAAAGATTAGTTCGACCAAGAATGAGCACAAGAGCCCCAAGAAGGTCAAGGGGCCGGGGTCGCAGAAAATTACGAGATTCTTTGGAAATGCGTCATGAGGCACGGTGGACTGCCCGTGCGAATCTGGCCGTGCAACGCGGTTCCCATTCCTCCTGTCGGGAAAACGGACTCTCAAGGCGTCCACAATCAAGCTTGCAATGATGCTCGCAAAGGTGCTCCGCCGACTTGTTGTCGTGCATTGCCGTTTGGCAGCTCCGCCGCGCCAATGGGCTTCAGTTCTGCTCTGCTTTATTGCGTCGTTGGCTTGCGCCGGTATTGGCGGCTCATTTCCGTCTTTTCGTGCCATGTCCGCGTTCCTAGGGTCTGTTTTGTCAAAAGCAGTGCGAAATCGGTAACAGGGTCGTAAACGCCCGGTGGTCAAGGGGAGTGGCGGACAATTGAAATGTATAATGAAGCGTGTATCAGGTATATACGCAACGATATTTAATCTGTACATGTACACGCGCAAATATCATGCATCGGTAATTTTAAAACCACGGAGACTCCTAGTTGAAGCTAACCGTGCCGACATGTAATTCCAAGTACAATGACTATATCCGTACAGATGGTGGTGGTGCAAGACCCTCCTCCCATTGCACCATCCCCGGTATTCCCAAGGACATTTCTGTTCTTATTTATGCCGGTACATGTGGACTCGTATAAAAATGCCGGGCATTTTCAAATCACGACACCTCGCAACATGCACTCACGCCAACCTCTCCACCTCCAACGCGGCCAGCACAAAAGCCGACTCTCCCAGTAAACTGTTCGGCACAAGAGGCCGCGTGGTATAGTACTCAAAGGAGGCGCTGGAATTCAGGCTACACACGGAAACCGTCTTGTCGAAGCCAATCGTGCCGTTGCCCGTGTCGGTGACAAACCGGCCCACGGTGTAATTGTACGCCCGCAGCGCCGTGCCCCTGTAGTCGGGCGTCCGGCCGCACAGCAGCCCCGTCCGCAAGGCCTTGAGGAGGGCGAATGTGAAGAGGGCGGTGCTCGAGCTCTCGAGGTAGTTGGCGCCAACGCCGGGCAGCGTGACAATCTGCCACCACGCGCCTGTGGCCGGGTCAGCGTGGCGCACAAGCGCGCCGGACACCTGGACGGTGATGTTCCTAACGAGGGAGCACAGCTCGACGCGGTCGGCGGGCTGCTGGGCGGCGTCGTCGTCGGCGGCCGCGCACGCCAGCCGGTCCCAGGCCTGCACGAGGCCCGCGAGGAACCAGCCGAGG